GGACAGAGTGGCACAGGCAGGTGTCAGGTCCCAGCCAGGAGCTGCTTGAGCAGAGGTGATGAGCGCAGGGGAAAGGTGGATGTGCTTGGGCTCGTAAAAAGGGAGATGCCAGCAGGGCTGCCTGCACCATCGTGCTGGTGGGGGAACCAGTTGGTTGTGCTGCCATGGGGGAGGACAGCTTGGAGGGAGCAGAGAGGCTGGGTGCTGGAGAAGAGCAGGAGGGCTCTTGCAGCTGTGGCAGGGTCCACATGTTGGTGGCCCCCTGGGTCTGGGGTTCATGGTGCACCCCATGATGTTATCGATGCTTATGGTCTTGTCTGTTTAACAGTGGCATCTGTGGGCATCTGTGCCCCTCTCCAGCACAGGGACCAGAGTGGTCCCCGAGCCTTGGTGCACAAGTGGATGGTGCTGGAGGATCCCAAAGTGATGAGACAGCATCAGCCCCATGGGGCAGGGGGTCTTCTGGCTGCCTTCTGTGCCACAGCTACTGCCTGGAGAAGGGAGGCAAGGTCTCCATCCTACTGAGCAGGAGGACAGACACAGGCAGATTTCCCTCCCCTTCCTTCCCTGGGGACCTCGCAGCCCCTTCCCTCCCTCCTGCCAGCTCCCCCCTCCTCCCCATTTTTCTCTGGTGAGTCAGTGCTGGTGGAAGGGCAGGCAGGTGCTGCTGCCTGTTCCCTGCCGCAGGACCTGCCGCCGCGCGGGGAGCAGGCAAGTCGGGGCAGTGCTGTGCAGGTAGAGATGGATGTTTGCAGCTCAGTCTGGCCAAACCTGCTGCTTGCAGGAGGCAGAGGCTTGGTGAGGAGGGGGCCAGGAGCCAGGATTTCCTTCTCTGGCTCTTCCCAAGTGAAGGGCAGCATCGTGGCTAAGCCAGCCCCGGGAGGGAGCTGGGCTGTCACTGTGTCCTATTTGCAGCATCATCGGTTCAGGGCCGTACAGACCTTGTTCCTTTGGGGTCTCAGCTCTGGTGTCTCTCTTGTGCAGCTCGTCCCATTCCCATCCTGGTGCCCTCCAGCCTCTCTGCCAGCACAGACAGGAGCAGGCAGAGCTGAAGGGAGGATCCCTGGGATTTCCTGCCCCTTCCTATCACTTTGCCCAGCTGTGAGGATGCTTCATTCCCTCCAGATCATCCCTGGCATCAGTTGCAGCAGATGCCAGCTCTGAGTCAAGGAGACCATCCTTGAGAGAGCGCCAGGCCCTGAGAGGCCTCAGGCTCCTTCCAGGAGGATCCCTCGTGTGGATCAGGCACGTGTGTCAGATCAGCCTGGAGGGAATGGGGCAATCCAGGGCATGTCACAAGGAATGTGTGAGGGACAGGAGGCCAGCTCTGACCCGACATGTTGCTACCAGCACCAGCTGCAGCAGCTTCCTTGGCCCACAGAGATCTGCAGGATCTGCCACAGGATCAGGCCTCTCTCCCTCCCAGTTTCCACTCCCCTTTTCCAGTCTCTTTCGCAGCAGGTTTCACTGTCTGTTGACAGAGCCGGGGTGAGGCCGTCCAGGCGAGGAGGAGGTGGTAGCGAAGGTCACAGGGAGTGGGAGGAGAAGCAGAGGCAGCTCTTCACACACCACCCACCTCCCCAGTGTCAGCCCTTGGCACGAGGCTGCTCCACAGCCAGGCACCCACCCAGCCCTGCCTGGGCGGCAGCCACCACATCCCGCCCGGATTATCCTGTGATAATAGTGATGCTGAGCTCCTCCTGCCCTGAGCCACAGGGTGTCACACTCAGGAGAGGGACACGTGTCTTTGTCAACAAGGGACAGTCTCAAGGCTCTTTGGTTCCTCATGGGTGATGGGGCACACACAGAGACCTGGAAATGTCCTCACAGCTCCAGGCAGCATCTTCTGTGTGCGTTGCCCATGGGGCTGGAACTCAGCTGGGCCCTGGACTGGCAGCACTGGGGGGACTGTCCCCCTTTGTCCCCAGGGGCTTGCAGAGCTGCCAGTGCTGTGCCAGGAGTTCCTGGGTGCTGCCCCATCCATGCAGACAGAGCTGGATGTGCTATCCCGGAGTGACCTGGTGTCACTCTCACCCATGTTTGCCAGCCATGATCCTTGCTGGGGCTCGTGATGGGCTGCCCGGAGCGGAGAGGGCAGCGCTCAGCACAGCACGTGTCTGCCTGCTTTGTGCATCCTCAGCCCTTTAATTATGTCCCTTTCCCCCCTGTGCTGTGAAAAGAGCTGGGCAGCGTCTGCCCGCAGCCACCGGCACCTTCTGGGTGAGCGCGTGGGCAGCGGGGCCGAGGGTGCTGGCTTGGGCAGGGCAGGGGCTGCAACGTGCCACTTGTGTTTGCTGTTATGGGTGTGTAGGAGATGGCAGGGGAAGAAATGCTTCCTAAGCCTGGAGCTGCCAGGCTTGGGGACGCAGGGGTGTCCTTGAGAAGGTCACGCTGTCCCTTTAGCTGCATGTTCAGTGTCTGGGTCTCTGCTTTGGGTAACGCTGCTCCATCTGCAGCCAAACCCCTGTCCTGGTGCAGGAAAGCCTGTGGGGAGCTGGCAGGGCAAGGGAAGGAGGGTTTGACACGTTGGCTCTAGGACGGCTCTGCCTGCTGGGTAAACACTGGAAACTTGTCACCTTTTGGAGCAAAATGCCTGGAGGTGGAAGGGATGGAGCTCCCTGAGGCACTGGGCACCTGGGGCTACAGGGAGCTGCCTGCTACTTGCCCGAGGACACAGGGCTCCCCAGCACCCACCACCCTGGCTGGTGCCTGACTATTGGCATTGCTGCCCTTGCCTTCACATGCCCCAGTGCCAGCAGCTGGAGCTACTGGTTAGACTGGTCCAAGACCTCCTTCTTTCCCAGCTGCCGGCTCTCGTGACCGTGACGTAGCCGTGCTGGATGCCCCCTCCCTGAGGACAAATGCCCTTTGCCCCGCGGTGGTTTGTGTCCTCCTGCTGCAGGCTGAGCCGTGCCCGGAGTGTGGCTTTCCCTGGTAGGGCTGGGTGCCAGGTCCTGGGGGCTCACCTGGGACAGACAAGGATGGGGAGGAGCAGCACCATCAGCTGTGCTGTGCCGTATCCCAAGGGCCAGTGCTGGCTGGAGGAAAAGCCTCCCAGTTCCTCCCAGCTGGCCGCAGTGTTGTGGAAGTCAGCAACTGGTTCTCAGGGATGTTGTGCCCAGCGGGGAGCAGGCAAGGAAGGCCCTGGGGGTGCAAGAGCAGAGGAGTTGTGGAAATCCCAGACCTAAGCCTGGCAGAATGGATCCCGCCGGGCGTGCCGTGCGTGGGAGGAGGTGGGAGGGCTGGGGGCCAGCGGGGAGCCAGAGGAGGGGCCCCCCTCTCTCCTCTGTCCTGCTCTGCTTGGGAAGGGCTGATTTAACATCCCTGCCCCAAGAAGTGGGAAAAACTCACTCCACCTCCCCTGCCTGAGGCCCCCATCACTGAGCCTCTCTCCAAAGGGCTTCACCACTCCTGTGATCCCTCTTCCATCCCAGGGGAAACCTGTGCCTCCCACTGCCCCTAAATCCTGCTTTTAGTCCCCACACTGCCAGGATGGCTTATCCTGGGAAACCTGGGACTGAGGGTTCCTGGCACAAAAACAAAGGTGATGGAGCTGAGGAAGAGCCCTCAGACAATGTGAGGGCTGGTCCCTGTGGGAGAGGAAACTGAATGACCAGGTCAGAGGCAACTGTGAGGACCATAATCTGCATTATCCCACTTCTTAGGGTCTAGTGTTGGCCAGCCCGAGGCACAGCCTGGGTAAGAATAAAATGGAGAAGGGAAATAAGGGTTTAAAATAAAATTTAGGGTGACTCCTAGACAAAAGCACCTTTTTAAAAGCTCGAGTCAGTGGGATAACATGGAAGAGATGGGAAATATGTTGCTTAAGCCTTGGTGAGGCATCCCTGAAGGGTACACTGGAGAGACCACACTGTATGGGCCTATGGATGGACATGGGCTGGAAACCTTCCATCCCTGGGGCTGCACAAACTTGCTCAGACCTGGGAAAAGTGGCAGCAACAATCCAAGCTGGGGAACTGTGAGTGGTGGTGTCCAACTGATGATGCTGTAGAGCTGTGCCCACTCAGACCCACAGAAACCCTCAGCCCTTGGACTGGGAGGCTTAAGGGCAGCTCTTCTGCACAGACATGAGTGGGACTGGGAGGACCACTGCACGCTGCTCCTCCAAGGGAGGGACTGGAGGTCACAGGGGGGACAGGGGATGGCTGGTGGTGCCAGCGATGCTGAGCAGCAGCAGGTGCCTGTGTGCCTGGGGTGCTGCCACCAGCCTCGCTGCTTTCCTGCCCTCGCCCTTCCCTCTCCTCGGCCTGAAGTTGTTATTTTATGTTGTGTTTTGGTTTTTTTCCCCGGGTAGGAAGAGTTCGGGGGCTTGGCAGCAGCGTGCGGGCAGGGCTGTGCCACAGCTGGGTGATTGATGCCAGGTGCAGCCCCCAGCAAGGTCTGGGAGCCACTCATGGGCTCCCCAGGGTGCTGGTGATGGTTTTGCAGGGAGTGGGCTGTGAGATGGGGCATGGAGGGGCTCCCTGGCATAGCATATGGGGTCTTCAGCACCCCGGAGGCTTAGAGGGGGGGATTTGGGCTCCTTGGCTTCTCAGCACCAAGCTGTGCCTCATTTTCCCTCATCTGTGCAGTTTCCAGCCTGGGCATGAGTTTCTGCTCTCAGGGTGCTCAGCCACACCTGGGGATGATGCAGCCCTTTGAAAGGGACTCACTGTTTTTTTATCCTCCTTGAATCCCCTCATGCTGCCCCTTCTCTGCTCAGCTGCCCACGGCCCCGCACGACCCGCTGCCTCTTTTGCTCCTCAGGAAGGTGCTGGGGAGGAGGGCAGTGCCTGCCCCAGCTCTGCTCTGCCCAGCAGGGAGAAAAGCCCTGCAGCTCCATGGCAGAGACAGCCTGACTCCGCCGTATCGACCGGCCGGGAGATGATTCCTCACACGGCATTTCCAGCGCCTGGTTCAGTGATGAGCGGGATCACGTCATCCCGGGCCGGCTGTCATCGCCTGGCTCACTGGGGCTGCATCCTGTGGGTGGGGGGGACATGGGTGGGAACACGACTGTGTTCCCCCCCCCCCAAGCTGACCCCTCTGTCTCCACAGGCGCTGCCAAGGGCGAGGCAGAGAAGCGGCTGAGCGTGCAGTACACGACGAGCGAAGAATGCCCCGACAACGTCTTCTTCCCCAGCACACGGCCCCCGCACCTGGAGGAGCTGCACAACCAGGCTCAGCAGGGACTGAAATCCCTGCAGCACCAGGGTAGGTGTCCCCAGCCCTGGGGGTGGCCTGGGGACAGCTGGCCAGCCCCAGCTCCTGGCTGGCAGGGCCGTGTGGGCGGCGCGATGGGGCTGAGCAGAAGCAGACCAAAAGTGCCTGGGACCACGGGGACACCAGCAGCCTCCAGGTGAGCCAGGCTGAGGAGCTGGATCTGCCCTGCCACATTCTTAGGGTGCCCTGGGGGTGAGGGGACACAGGGTGGCCTCTCTGTACCCTCTGCAGGTTGGTGTCTCGGGGCTGGGGCAGACAGAGAACCAGCCAAGGCTGCAGGACCACGGCTGGGGGGGTTTGTGGGGCAGAAGAGCCCCTTGGTGTTATGCCCTTTGCCCCACGATGAGCTGCTGTCCCTGTCCTCAGCCTTTGCTTATCCTACCCTGCCTTGTGTTGCTCTGCCTGGGGATCCCTGTGGTCCTTGCATCCCTCTGTCCTGCCTTCTCCCACCTCACTGGTGTCCCCTGGCAGCCCCAAGCAAGGTGGGGTGACTGGGCAGTGTAGTGGGGACCATCGGCCATATCCAGCCCTGTGGCTGGGCCACTCCCCAGCTGCTGACGTGGAGAAACTCCCACTCCCTTGGCCGAGTTGAGCTTTGCCTCTTCCCAGGGCTCTGACCCTGCTGCCAGCCCCTCGCTGCCCATGTTTGCTCAAGCCGCTGCCTCCCGCTGGCTCTCAGCCCCCTTAACCCCTGGGGAGCAGGGGAACAGGGGGGCAGGGGGTGCAGAGCTACGGGGGAGCAGGAGGAGGGTTTGGTGGGTGTTCATGCTGGTGTCTCATCCCGACCTCCAAGAGACGCTTTGGAGGGACTGGGGGGACACCAAAAGCCATCATGGGGCTGTGCTGCCGGCCGTGCCCATGAGTGTGC